ACTAAAGTCTCAAATCCAAAGAGATATATAATAATTCTTTATAACTTTATAAAAGTTAAGAGTTAACCACGCCTACCTAAAACGGCTCGTTCTAACACGCCCCCACATATCTATGTGGGAAGATTTGCATAACGCCGCCCAAATGTTCACGCAAAGAAAGAAGGCGTAACTTTTATTCTCGCTGTAGTTTTGTTGTTTCCACCGCCAAGTCGTAAAGTGCTTCATGTATTGGCCCGAATATAAGACGACCCTGATTATAAGATGACCCCCCTTTTTCCAGGATGTACCTTTTGGAAAATGCTTTTTAAAAACCAAATCTTGTTTTTTCTCAGTAAAACACATTTTGTCTTCAATTATTTTCATATTGCATATTTTTCCTATTTTAATTTTTGTTTTGAAAGTATGGTAAAAACTGGTCAAATGTACCAACACTCACATTTAAAAAAATACACTTTTTGATATACCATTAAAAAAAACAAAAAAAAAAAACAGGTAGCCCATCTGAATTAGGACATTTAGGCTATCCATCTAATAGTAGCCTATCAATATCTTATTAACAGTAGAAGTTCAATCTTACTGTAGTCTTCAAATCTGGGTCCTGTCTTACGTTTTATAATCACAAAGGGAGTTTGGTCCCATCAGGCTAACGTGACAGTCACGACTCATGCAGCTGTAAGCTTTTCTTTTTCTTTTGTTTTTACTCGCGATCTTTACAACAGGCATTACATTAGTATTTCATGGCACACTCGTTTTATGTGTATTTGGCGCCACTTGTTGTTGTGGGTGTATTATTGACATGTCAAAGTCTAGACCCTGAATATTTTTCAAGCCTGGAGTCGTCACATGTGGTTGCCGCTCCTTCGTCGAATCCGCCGGCCGCGCCGTTCTCAAGCCTGCCGCCTCCGCTCACTCTAGCCCCCGGCCTCCGCTCACTGTAGGCCGCGGTGTGTGACGCTGTGTTTCGTTGTGAAAGTGAAACTACTTTGTTTGGTCTTCCAAAAGAGGACACGACTAGAAATCAGTGGTTAAGTTGTATTTACAACACTGTTCCAGAACAGTTCAACCCAAATATTCAGATGGGTGCAGCACATTTTATGGAGGACTGTTTCCTGATCCTGGTAGAGTAGACTACAGTGCCGGCTGTTCTGACTCACAGACTGTAAGTACGTTTTTTATATTTAAAGAATTTTTTTATTTTATATATTTAAAGCAAGTTGTGAAACAGAAATTCAGATCGCAATGTCTATTCGAATTGTCAGACATCCTTGCCTAGATATGTGTAGGCCTACATGCAACAAAGAATACTTCATGCATTACAACATATAGCCAGTCAGACATGGCTGATGCCTTAATCGTCTGGATTTGACTGCCAAAGGAAGCAATCTGTCAGCTCCCTCTGTCAGTGCATGAGATGTAGACACAATCCTGTAGGATAAGCCCCACAATCATGACATCCCATATGTGTCACAACATGCTACACACCAAATTCTGTGTTGCTTTCATTTATTTTTACTATAATCAGTTAACCATGGCAATACAATGGTATTGTTTTTTTTTAATTGAGTACCAAGTACAATGATATGTATAGCCTACAATAATAATTCAGCATTGCTGTCTTGTATAGGCTCTGTCAAACTACTCTTGTGCTATAAAATGGTAGCACTGGTCATTTGTAATTTTACATGACAAAAACACGTCCGTTTATTTATTCCTATAAGCATGAAAAATAATTTCTCAGACACTGAAATGCATCAATGCATCTTATCTCTCAATGCTTTATTCAAAACAAGACATTTGAGTTCAAAATGAGACAACCAATAACATATTTTCAATTACTATTAAATTCTCAATTTACTATCTACTCACGTCGCCTCGACCGCTCCCGGTTTAACGATCACATCGATCTTATATTTAGTTCCGGTCAATAATTTGATGGTTCGGGTCTGACCGAATCTCGTCCCGTCCGATTTGAAGTAGACTGGTCCGCTATTCGGAGTGGTCTTCAGCGAAACGCCGATTTTAATCAGCTGGGGTATGTCTGCCATGATGCCAAATGATGCAGAGAAGGCAGTCAGGTGCAAGTTAACAGGTCAAGATATCTCAGGCTGAACTAAATCGTTACGCCGTAACGCGTAAAAAAACCACATCGCATAAAGCACGTCCAAAGTCATGTCTGCTGTCCCCGTCCATAATCCCCACACGAAGAGTAATCCGGCCAAGCGCGTGTCTGTGCGACCTAATGAGATCAAGAGAGATGCGGTGGAGCCCACTTCAGATTAACCCGATACAGCATTTGTGTGTTTGGCTTGATCATGCTTATGCCAAAATAAGTGACTTACAGTACAGCAGGCTTCTGTTGCTCAAGGATATCAAGTGTGACCAGTAAGTCTTTGCAGTGTTGCCACTGAACAATAGGCACCAAAATATTATGCTAGGCTATATTTTGGTTATTGAGCATGTTCCATGCATCAAATACAATATATTTTTAACTACCTTTAAGTACCATATAGCTTACTGCCCTGCTGAATTTATATATATATAAAGTATGTTTGCACATACAAGGAATTTCTTATAGTGTCATAAGCTTCCAGTACGCGGAGACAACAACATAGTGAATTGTTGGCCTTCTGGAAAGTATGTTCATTTACTGTACATGTACTCAATACTTGGTTGGGCCTCCTTTTGCATGAATTACTGCATCAGTGCGGCGTGGCACGGAGACAATCAGCCTGTGGCACTGCTCAGGTGTAATGGAAGCCCAGGTTGCTTTGATAGTGGCGTTCAGGTCATCTGCATTGTTGGGTCTGGTGTCTCTCTTCGTCCTCTTGACAATACCACATAGATTCTCTGTGGGGTTCTGGTCAGGCGAGTTTGCAGGCCAGTCAAGCACACCAACACCATGGTCATTGAACCAGCTTTTGGTGCTTTTGGCAGTGTGGGCAGGTGCCAAGTCCTGCTGGAAAATGAAATCAGCATCTCCATAAAGCTTGTCAGCAGAAGGAAGCATGAAGTGCTCTAAAATTTCCTGGTAGATGGCTGCGTTGACTGTGGACTTCAAAAAACACAGTGGACCAAAGTCCTCTTTTCAGATGAAAGTAAATTTTGCATTTCATTTGGAAATCAAGGTCCCAGAGTCTGGAGGAAGAGTGGAGAGCCACAGAAACCATTTTGCTTGAAGTCCAGTGTGAAGTTTCCACAGTCAGTGATGATTTGGGCTGCCATGTCATCTGCTGGTGTTGGTCCGCTGTGTTTTCTGAAGTCCACAGTCAACGTAGCCA